AGAAGCGACTGATGCCCCAGTCTACCACGCAGACTGTTTCCCAAACACAAGTCTTCGTTGTTGACCATGATGCTATCGAGCGTTAGCTGCGAGTCGTTGTGGAAGGGTCGTAAAAATAGAGTCATTAACCACCTGCGAAAGCACGGAGACTGAGGCTCATAAGTGTTTTTTAACGCTTTTATGTTCAAGCTACTCACTAGTTAATATGAAGTTTCTTTGTTTTTATGTTAAATGCTGAAGTGCTTTTTTGTGCGGAAATAAATCAGTCTTTACGTGCAAATATTTGGTCTTCCCGTGAACATTAAGTTTAATTAATTATAATATGTTTTGCCTGTTCAAAGTCTGATTGCCTATTACAATGTAAGCCTTCTTACCCCAAGATCGTAAGTGTCTCCATGTACCACCACGCATAAAACGACGGACGCTGTACGGACGTACTCAGTGCAAGCTTCTTCCATTTCGTTCGCTACAAAACACCACCAGAATTTCATTCTGGCATTTGAAATTGTTTAAGGACCTACGTCAAGTTATTTTTTGCGCCAGGTTTGCGGTAATGCGAGTGAGCGACCACGAAACAATTAAACATACGTGTCATTATTCAATTCTGAACAGATGATGTTGTGTTTTATATTTCTAATATCATTTTTTTTGTCCTTTCACAGTTTTTTTGAAATTTTACAGCCGGTGAACTCTGCGTATATTGACATTGTGGGTATTCATTAATGCGAAATTGATAGTTCCCCATGAATTGCAAAAGTCAGCAAATTGTGCGCTAAAAGGATAACTGATGTTACCATTATTACATATATGAGCATTTGGTATGTACGCATAGTCACATTTTCCCGGAAATTAAGGATGATTAGAAATTGTCTTTCTGGCCTTAACTCATATACAATCCAGATATTGTTCAGCAGCGTTTGATGTAGGAAGTTTTATAACATAGTCATCTCACCTATAAATCTGAGACACCTTCTTCCACAGTAAAATAACTATACGTGGGTGAACGTTCGCCGACCACTAAAAGAAAACACTTGTTTTGCTATGTCATTGCCGTGGGCCTCCCTACTTGTATTATAAAGGACGCAATGGGCACCTAGCATTGCCAGTAGAGACAAGGGAATAGAAGATAATCATTGTTGGCTTAGCAACCGTCGTCAGCCAATTATACTGAGGCTCATGTGTTGCTCACCCCAGCCTGGAAATCGAGAACTTTATGATCACAGTCAAACGCCCTTACAATAATACCTGTAAGTATGTTGACGATCATTGTTGGAATTGTTTGGGTGCTCCATCCCCCAAAAACATCATAAAACAAACGTCTTGGAGGATATGAATTGATCTTACAACGCTATATCAGAAAACCTACATAGCTTGTATTCTGACATCATGCAGCGGACTTTGCACTCTAATTATCCACTTATTCTAAGTAATACAAGTATGTACATGCAAAGTCATTGCAATCATTTATTAAGTGTGGAATGCTTAACAACTAGGTAAGCCAGTCACTGCGCATTTCTCCCGGCTACATATACACGCTTGTCCTCCGCAGGCCGACGTAGTTTATTTCGCTGCAAATGCAGCGGATATAGTAA